TTATTATCTATAAAATTGTTTAACCATAATTTTGTTAACATATTTTGAATCTCAACTCAAGTTACACATACAACACTCAAGCAGTAGGCAGCTTATCTATTCCCTCCCTAATTGTGGTTATCCAAAATCATATAATCATGTATAGGAATGTCATGCAATATCATTATAATGTGGAAATCCACAGGACTAGAACCAATATTTATATCAAAGCTATCAAATTGTTTAATAGAAATACAGATTGTTAAAAATGACAAATGGAATATTTTAGTTTCAATATTTTAACTATGTCAATGATGTAAGCTATGAAATATATTATGTAAATATCTTTTACATGAAAAATTTTTCCAGAAAAAAGTGTAGCAAGTTTAATCTCCTATTAAAAAATAATAAAAAATTGATGCAAGTAATTTAAATGCATGGTGGACACTTCCACTGTTAGTTGTGAACCAAAATTCCAATTGGTTACTTTATTCACTATTTTTTGAAAAACATGGAAATGATGATGCATGTTAAATCTTTTGTGTCCACAAGTCAAAAATGTTGATCAAGGCGTGTAGCCAATGTAAAATTACATTAATTTGGTTTAAAATCATCAAATTCTAGAAAAATACATAAAAAATATGCATAATGTTAATAGTTTGACAAATTTCAACTGTAACATTCAAAGAGGGTAAAGGCCCTGTTAGGTAGGATTCTGAATTCCTATTTTCTACATTATTATCAGTTATTTCTCTGTCATTGTTCTTGTGAACATTTACTTCTGCTGAAACCTTTTTACAATATGGGCTTTTAAATAATATTATTCAAGGAATGTTATAACTACATTTACATTTCACACATAATGTAAACGCAAAAGTTTTTCCTAATTTATAAATTCCATTGCTGTCTATGACCAAGGTCAGAATCATATTACAAACCTTGACAACAGTATGTTGCTAAGTGTACCACAATCACTTGAATACCAGAAATTCAGAACATTTGTAAGTCACCACCACCAGGACCATAAAAGAAAATGTATACCATATATAAGCAAGTATTATTTGTTGTGATTGCTTGCATTCATTCTACGTAACTACAGTCAGTTAAAGGCAACATGACTTTAAGTCTGTATCTAAATTTAAATTATTCTACCAGACAGACAGCTTGAATAGTCAACGGGTCATAAAAGGTTACTATACTTACATACCTTAGTATACCAAATATTACTATGTGCTAAGCAATAACCCATAAATACCCCAGTGATTACAGATGTCAGTGCATAGTCAGTAAAACATGGGCCCTTTTACACTGAACACAAGTCAACAATTGTGATATATAATAACAGGATACCAATACTGCCAATTTACAGCCTGTCTGTATGCTGTAAGCTCCAGAAGAATAATTATTATTCCGGTCATTGTGAGTGTCAGTTCAAAATGTGTTCGTCATGGCTTTTGTTTTAATTTTTTAGTTAAAAATTTTGAAAAAACAGCAAAAAAAGACAATTTAAAAATACACAACAACATTGATTTTGACTATTGCCCGGAAATTTTTGTTCTCTTTGGCCTACTAAAAATAATTCATAAATGTATACAATGTTTTTACATGACCACTCAGCAAAAACTACTATTATGGAAATGAACATTTATAGATGAACTATTGCACTCAGTCTGATGTGAAATGCAATTACGGTATGAATGACTGATCTGTTCTATTTTCATACATTTCAAAACATAAACTTCTAGTGTTCCCACAACCGATACAATGGTAATTAGGTATATATACATAGTCAGAAATTATAATCATAATTCTCTGATTAATAAAAAAAGAAATCCAATCTTCTGAAACAGTTTAATATACGTAACAAAACTTTAAAATATATAACAAACAATTAAGTATATATTCCCTGTCAGAAATTTATAATTTTCAAAAATAGAAAAAAGAAAATCAGTCTTCTAAAGCAGTTTAATAAATGTAGCAAACAGGTTACAGGGAACTATGACCTTTTCAAATGAATTACATTTATTTTGAAATTCCTGTCATATGTAACATATTTCAAGTGTCTCAAAATACCAGATTATTGCAAACCTTTATGCCCTAGGATGGCTAAAAATACATTACCGTTAACACCAATGGACAAATCTGAGGAAAACTATTATAAACAGATGTTTTTAGTATCACAACAGAAATGCAGAAATCCTATTGGGAAAACAGATTGAAAAACAGCATATCCTAAGGCTTCATAATTTGTTTTCCCTAAATCATAAATAGGTTTGGAAGATCTAACTGTAACAGTTTAAAAACAATATTTTAAGGGAATGACTAACTACAACAATATGTTAAGAGAAGAACAAAGTTATTTGCTTTTAAATCTAAACTGTTCTTAAACAACATGAATACCCCTCCCCCATCCCTGTACAACAATTAGTTACCAAGATAGGGAGACACAATTACCATATATGACATCACAGATTCCAAAGGAATGTCTCCCAGCATTCTCTGTAGTATGATAATAATGCATGGAATCTTTATCTGGACAAGGTCATTGGATGGCCAGTAATTAAAAACTACCAAATAAAGGATATCCAGTAAATGTAAAGAGTTTGTTTTTTTAGTTGCTGCTTCAAATAATATTCATTTGCCCCCCCCCCCCCCCACGATTTCAGTACATTTGCATATTGATGTCGATATCAGATACAACATCTACCAAAAGTACATATTATGCATTGAAGAGCCCAAGCTGACATGCTTGTTGACAGCTCATCCAAATTACAAAGCTATGTGATTCCTACTTCACAGCCATATTCATAATCCTTGGTTTGTGAATATGGTTATAAAAGATCAATTCATTAAAATATTGTGTGTAAAAACAAAACACAAAATTATAAACAGTATTTTGCAGTTGATTGGTGATGTTGTCATATTTAAGCTGTGGGAGGGTCACATGTTTAATGTGGTATCACACACACTTCAAAGTTTAGTACACTTTAACATCACCAGGAAGTAATGGATCAGAGGTCAAATTGTAAATGTTTAAAATCAGCTCAGTAAACCTTGTCTGCTATCCAGGGTCACAAAAAGTTACAATTCTACCTCATTCAAGTGACCATTCATTTTTACTGTATATACGTTTTTAGAGGTAATAAGAATGGGGTTACCTGTGTGTTTTTAATGGTAGTTATATCTACTTAAACATTTTATGACTTGTACCCTGCTTTAAATCCATGGGGCATTAGTTTATATAGCATAAATTTCAAGGACTTTAACTTGCATAGCATCAGGAGATTGACATTTACAGTAAAGATCAAAGGCGTGATACGTCATTCATTTTAGAATGTAGAAGAGGTACCGGTAAACAGTTATTGTCATTTATTGTAGTGGAATAACCTTCCCAGAGGGGTAATAACAATTTGGAGTTGCTTGTAAAGTTGTACGCATGACAGTCACACTAAATTACATTACTAGCTAATGAAAGAATATTTTCTGATATTGCAAAATGAACAATGCTTTGTGATGTCATGCCATGATTACATTCATCAAATAAACATCTTTTTAAAGGAAGCAAAAAAACAAACATAAACACTAGGGAAGATTCAACTTCTAATTCACATTTTAATTCTAACACTCTGGGTCAATTATTTAAAAATCTGTTTCAATAAATACATATCGACACCAACTGAACATGTACATGCATTACATACTTCAAACACATCATGGCACAATGACCATCACCTTTCACTGACTCCTTGACTTGACTGATTTTTTGCCACTTCTTGTCATATTGTTTTAGTGAAGTACCCCTTTCTTTATTTCTTTGTGTTTTATTTAGATCTTTTTGATCTACGAAATAGGTAAGCCTTTGGTAGCATTCTTAGTAACTTTTAGAAATGGCCTGAATCACAGATCAATTTTTAACTAGTTTTTTCTCTACCTAACATTAAATACAATATAATAATCTGCAGACAGGTTTAAACTTCACATAGATTCGTCCCTAGCTTCACTAAACACTGAGACCTACTCACTCTCATATCCGGGTAAACAAACATTAGCAGTTAACCTCTGACCTCTGACCTGTAAGTATAGACATAACTACTTCATGCTCAGTGCAAGCTAAATTCCATAGATTTCCCATGATATAATAATCCCTTAATTATTGTTTTTCCACTAACGAAAATGACAAAGTAAAAATATATGACATTCAGAGTATTTTGAAATGCAACGTTTTAATAATCCAAGTTGCTGATCAGACCAAATATATTCTCTAAGAAAGAACTCAATTAGTAAGTAATTAGTTTTAGCCCACTATCTGATTTCTACAAAACATATACCAGTACTACAAATTACAAGTACTAAAACAATGGGATAGGAATCATTCCATTTTAAATTCAGAATAAATGTTAGGTTATTGAATAAATCTAAAATTGAAAAAACAGCAGGGGTTGATTTAGAGCTCATACACATTTTCTATAATGCAATGTGGTAGTTACGTCATTGGAAAGGATCACCCTCACCCTCACCCTCACCCACAAATTTGTAGCAATGTTTTCAGTGTGACAGAACATAGATCACCATTCAGTGTGCATGCATATTTCATAAACTGTCACTGGCGCTTGACGATACACTGGCATTACAGCATACCACACTGACAATGGAACTCATGAAACAGCTGACACACATACATGCATCTAGGAGGCCAATAATGAAAGTGCAAGTAAGCATCAGGTTGCCAGGTGTTGCTAGGTGCCATCCCTCACAACAGCGTCCAATTAATGAACGACATTATACACTATAAGGTAAATTTTCTAACCGAAAAAACAAATCAGACAAATTGGAAAACTAAAACTAAACACAGGCGGGTGGGCAATTCATAGTTTTCTCAAAGTAATTACTTGATTTTCAGTCTATATTCTGATTGGGGATTAAACACTAGTTACCGTTGGACGTTCATCTATGCAGTCACGAGTTGTAGACCGAAACTAAGGAGCATGACAGAGAAAGCATGCAATCAGAAACTGAAAAATCTTAATCGTAATTGCAGCATATGTTCAATATATGACAAAATTACATAATTGAAAAGTAATAATAATTAAGTAAAAACACACAATTTTGTTTTATTTAAGTACCAAATTCCTTGAAATTCACTTTTCTCGATTAAACTCTACTACAAAACCAAGCAGCCATATACACATATGCACAGTGACTATTGTGTGGACACTCTTCCTGCATTGTGTATTCTGCATCATAAATTCAGTGGTCATAAACTCTCAGGTAAAAAGGTAAACAACACAAATAAAGAAAATAAACAGAAGTCTATTGAATGGGAATAAAAAGGGCCTTACGGCTGGTAAACAGCTTTGAATGAAGTGTCATATAAAGTGTTTGTCATGGCAAACTCAGAATGGTGTCTCGTTTCGGCAAATTTATTCCACCCAAGTTAGTTTGTGGGTCTACATACAATGTATTCATGAGACTTCAACCAAATGTTAATTCATATCAATGTTGTGGACATTAAAGCCGGTAGCCTAAAGTGCAGAAATAAATTAATATATAGCTGGGTGCATGCTTTTGGTATGATATTATCATTTCAAATTAAAGATTTTTTTTTTTCAATACAAACTTTGCTATAGTACATAGAAAATACTTGTATAAAAGTTAATTGAATAGCAAATATGCTAATAATTGATTAATATCATTATATTTCTGACCTATTTTAGACTTTTCTCATGAATCTGAATCCAAAACAAACATTAAAATTCTTCCAGTCAGTGATTTCATTGAAATTATGTGTGAAACTTTTACACGGAGTATTGGCATTGGTTCCATTATCAAATTATCACGTGGACTCTCCTCCTTGAATTGAGATTACGGGCACTGCAAGATCTAGGGTTACAGTCAGTTATGCGTCTATCTCACCGATTCCCCACTCCACAAATGGAAAATACATTCACACACATTATTGTATTCTGAATTGTTTTCATAGCTGTAACCAGGTAACCATGGTATTTATAGAGCATGTTATTGTATGAAATGAAAATATTCATTATCAATGGTAAGAAAATTTAAGATAATTATATTAAAGATCATAGTTAATATATGAAGTGAACATTTTTAAGGGGTACAATTTGTTGCAAAAAACAACACAGACGATCAAATCCATGGGGACTATATGAACTGTAATTTTTAAATCCACAATTTTAACCACACATTTGAAGAGGGGCAAATGTTTATTCTCTCACACCAGTTAACATTGCTCTCAAAGGACTCTCACATAATAATTAAGTTACTGCATTGTTTGAAATTGACTACTATGCATTTTCAATGGAATTGGAATAGCAGTTCTATCAAAACAAATAAATACTGGTATATACAAATATTGAACATAGAAAAGCATGAAGCTCTCCTCTGTTAAAACATAGGATGCCAACAACATATAGATTATGAATCTAATATCTCAGTTCTAGTGTATTTGTAACAAAATAACAGTTTAGTTTTTTTTATCTACCTACACACAAATTTATTTTTAATTTATTCCCTATATCTACACTATTTCACTTTCACTAAAGCTTGTTCTGCATATATTAAAATATTTGAAATACCATTGCTATACACTGTATGCAACATTTAAATCGTAAAGGGAAAAAAATTTGACAGTAACGTCATTGTAAAAATATAACTGTATTATAGCAGGATTCTTCTACAGGTTTCACTGTTACTATGGAAACTCCACTTACAAACTGGCATTATTTTTCTCACAGTGTCTTGCACACTAGAATTAAAATTAATGGTTAATGATTCCTGTAATTTCCCGGACTAAACATGCAACAGAAACACATTTAGGAATTTTAATTGAAATGGAAAGTAAAATACAAATAGGTAATATCATCTGAGTTGAAGAGTTGGAACAGGAAACAATAGATTCTGTCAATTTATAATTGTGTAACTTGTTACATAACAAAGCCATTGAAAGAAAATTTACTGTTAACATACTGTTAAGTACAAGTATTGTGCATTATATCACAAACGTGTTCTGACTTATTTTCCCTGTATGGTAAATCAGAAAAATAAGAATGAACTGAAAATATACTTCATTCCATTACTGCATGTAACACACAAAAGTGTGATTTGCAACAAAAATAAATTTCAGCTGACTTAAGTATTCTATGGTTTTTTAATATCAAGAATCCTGCCATGGTATGGAAGTTCATTTACTTGACATTTTTTAAAGTTCAATGACTTTCCGGTTGATATGCAAAAAAACTTAAAGTTCACTCAAGTGAGACAATGTGTAATATGACGCCTGTAAAACAAATAATGAAACTAGAAGCCCCTGCCAAGACCCTATCATTAGCATTGCCAGATATCAGCTTATTGTCAGCCACTTGGTCCCTTCAGGTATATGTGCTATTCTTTACTGATTCCCAGGTCACTGGTCACCACGGAACAAATGGCTAAACAGTACTCGCATTCAGTTGTCTGGGCTGTACCAATAACCAAATTTGTCCAGATTCACAATACAAATTGGCCCCATCGAAAGCTTGCACCAACCATGAAGTCAATCACGCTGGGTCTAAACTGGGTTATCATTGGGAATAATCTTTTTTAAGTTTCTCTCTAACTTTGCAATTCTTACTAATTAGAACGTCAATGTATATCGGCATATGTCACTGTCACAGAAGAATGGAAAAGCTACGACACCACACAATGACCCGAATCAAAGCAATAAGTCAGGGTCAGGCTAAGTTAGTAATCAGGGGGTCAAAGTACTGTCAGAGCCCATTCGATTACAACATACCTTTCACGAGAACAAACTACAAAAATATATCAAAACCAACATATTTGACCTTTAAGAACCCATCGTTAATCGGAAAAAATATCCCACCCATTACAGTATATTTTAAGTGTTAAGAAGCCATATTGGGGCTGGGCTCATTAATATTCATACTTAGAAAAATTCTTCCAGATTCACAGAGTTTGTAATTCTTATTTATTTCCGGCCCTAGATAAACCAATTTTCCAGAAGCACTAATACACGAGTGCCGCGGTACCATCGAGGGTGACTGTCGCGACAAAACAGGTAGAGCATCCTACCACATAACTGTGTTGTACCTGTCTTTATGCAAATTAGTAGAACAGGTATCAGTACTACCTATCCCCACCAACTCGATCAATGCTCAAAGTCGGCTAGAAAATAGCACCAACGGCGCCTCGAGAAAGCTCCAATCATGATTGATAAGATTATAGACACACTGTGGCCGTTTAGTCTTACCTCAACAAGTGTCTTAAAGAAGTCAGCAAGGACAGTTTCGAAGACTCGGCTGCGACCTGAAATACCAGCGACCAACCAAGAAGTGTAAATAAAACAGCAATCGAGGGGGTCATTTGACAGCGCTTGCGTGACGTGTGCAAAATTTAAATAACTTGAGAGAAACTTCCCAAAGTTTGTATTTCGGCGAAAAACATGCATTGTTGTTGCATTGCATTAATGTTTTCGAATATATGAAAAAAAATCTTTTATTTCTATGCTATAATTGATTATGTGATGCCGACCTACGTAGTTCTGTGTTACGTTTTCGACTTACCTCGCCGATTCCAAGTTGTTAAAACTGCAAATAAACAAAAATACGAGACTGATATCGTCCCTTGTCATGCATGTAACTTTCCTTTAATTTCAAACGAACAAATCAGACATGTTTTTCCCACTCACTACGATATATGGAAGTATATGCGGGAAACATGACACGGTCTACGCGTGAAGTTTACCCCGAGAACCAATGGGCAGGCTATGAGACGAGCTCATTAATACATCCAGTGTCGGGTTTCATCACTTGCTAAGAAAACGCATCTCCGGGGTCTCCGTATTGGTGCATTGCTGCTTTCGAACGCCCACTCAGATCAGCTGTTCACATATCGCACATAGATACGAACATTACTGCTTTGGAGAAAGTGAAATTTTTGCACACGGCACAGTGTGGATAGATTACTTGTCGAGTTATCCTCTTCACTGTCCCATCTCTTGGCGATCTGCATCTGCCTGTTTCTCTATTCTCCATTCCAACACATTTCTGGTAAGTTCTTTTAAAATGCTTATTTCATTTAGACTAACTTCTGTTTTAGTTGGAGCATTCTTTTGCTAGTCTAACACCGTAATTTTCCATTTTCAGATTTACAACTTTACCGGTTGTTTTTTTTTACAATCTCACTACGGTAGCGATGAACTTTCTTACCCTATTAAAAAATATATTTTTAATACTCAATGCATGCTTGCAATTCCGCCTCGAATTCCATTTTCGATAAAAACGGAGAACTTGCAGAGCCTACTGAAATGGAAGCCATTGCTAGGAGAATTCTCAGCATTACCATAAATGGAGTCATGTCGGTTTAAATGTCTCGTTGAGTAGCAAAACCTACGGGTTATTTTGCAAACTTTTCGATCGTGTTTTCGCTTCCAATTAATTGTTCATCCTACTATTCACGGCTTGACATTGTTATTCTAGTCTAATACCACAAATCTCCGTTCCCCCTGACATATTTAATTAAATCGCCCGATTCGATCTTCAGTCATAACCAAAAGTATGCAAGATATGTGAACTTTTTTAAGAATGAGCATGCGCACTCATTTAAAGGGCCCCATTTAGGGGTACCAGTATGTTTTAGTCTCTCTCTTTCTCGTTTTATTATGAAATTTGTGGTGGTAATATTTTCAAAATACATTCAAAATAAATCTCATTGATACGATTGTCAACTGCGATGCACGAATTGAATTAGCGATAATCTTCACAAATTGTTAATGCCGATATATTAAATCTAGCACTGACCCTCCGATACCCTGTCCTGGTGAACTCACATGGAAGATGGCTTACCGTACGGTGGTGGCGGAGCCTGGATGATGACGTGAATGTTTGGAATATCTTCGCCGTATATGTATTTCCCTCTTTCTAGGCTATAGCACAAACGCTAGAGATAGCATACTACTTTATATTGAACACTTATGATTAGAACTTTTACATTCTTTGATACTTGACGGCAAATTGGTTTGGTATTATGAAAAGTAGGTCTTCTAGTGGCGTTATGTACACGCCAAGTCATTGCCAGCGCGAGTAGCCAATAGTGGTGCTATTTATATTAAAACACTTGAAATATTTGTGGTATTTAAATGTAATTTCTACAATTTTCATCGTATTATACATTTTCAATCAGCTCACATTATATTCTAACATTTCGAAATTTTGTCATTTTGTCAGGTGTATTTTAGGAACGCGTAAATTTACACTAGTATGAATAGTGATTCTAGGTAGAGTGTGAAATTTTCAGTGGATATTAAAGTGTTGTTTTCGTATCACAGAAATTTAATCAGCATGGCAGACGAAGCAGACGAACGCGCCCGCCGCCGTGAAGAACGCAGGAGAAGAAGAGAAGCCGAAAAGTAAGTTACAGGCTGTCGAATTAAATATTGTTTATAATACGACCAAATATTTGTTTACAATTTGGTTTGTATATTATCGAATACTAAACAACGTGCCAGGAGTTTTGGTATCACCGGGATACGGTGCAAGCTGGTGTCAGTTGGTGTTACATACTACAGGCTGTGCACACCACACCCGATATCAACATACCAGATAAAAGTATTTCAGTGACGAGATGTATACTTTATACCGGGACCTTATACACCATGATGGCAATATGTATTTGCTTATGTGTTAGCTATATATTAAAATGATTTACTATTATTTTAAAAGCAAATCAAAACACGCGAGATGTTGTTTGCATGCACTTCTGTCCCCAATGTTTATGCTTTACGTTCAGTGTGAATTCCGTTGAATTTTACTTGAACAGCGCCCTCATGACAACTTTTTTTCATTTCGTTTGACACAAAAATAGATTTTCATTCATACTATTTGTTTTACGTTTACAGGGCTGGTGAAGCTCCCGCTGAGGTGAGTTGTCAGACAATCATATAATAGTGTTAGTAATTGTTGATCAATGAAAAATACCACATACACGTGGATGGTATTAATATACATAATTGACTCTAAGGGGTGTACCATTTGAAATCTTGGGGAGATGATGATAGACTGTTGAATTTTTGAACCGTATATTTGTTTGTATTACTTCTTAAAAATATTGCCAATATTAACTCTTTGAAATGCCAATATATGTTTATTAAAATGTTTCTTTCTGAAAGTTCTTTTTTAATTTCCATCAAACAGACATCATTTGAACATTCAAAAAAATATATGTGAAAACAAATTATGTGGTTTCATTTTGTAAGGTATTGAAAGAGTTAAACATGCTATCAAAACCTGACACCCTTAAAATGACATTGTAGCAGATTTACAATCATTCAAATTTGTGAAATACTATGATCTGATAATTTGGTACATTTTCCATATATATTTAGGAAGGAGATGAAGCCCCTGAAGTAAGTTGAGTGACCCCCCTCCTTGTGTGCAGTGATCCCATGCCACCCTTAAATTGTGCAACAATCTCCTCTGCTACTGCAATTACAGTTGCTGTTGCATGTCCCCTTTCAGCGTGAAGATTACATCATTTTTGAATAAAAAAAGTGATGATAAAATGTGTAAATCTAACCAATCGGCAGTGTGTTCAAATTGATTGCATAGTGTGTTGTTTCTGTTCTCAAGTTGGCGACATGTCTTACATTCTGAGCTGTGTTTTATTTGAGCCGTGTTGCTTTAATTGTTTCTCTTCCTGTACATATATTTAATCTCCATTTCCCAAAGAATGCAATGCAATGGTCTAGTTTCTCAGCATGTTGACTTGATTTGAACGATTGTGCAGATTGGGCTACTGTTTTGTGTTCGCATCTGATGCTAGTCATTTTAAGAGCTCCATTTTTTTGTTTTTATCGCTTGCTTTTTAATTTCCCTGTGTTAGGAAGCTCCAGCTGAGGAAGCACCCGCTGAAGTAAGTTTAATGAGTGACCCTCCCCATTGCTGTGAACCCTTCCATTATAGTGAAACCTATCCTCTTTTTGTAGTGATCCCTTCCATCCATTTGAAGTTACCCCCATCTTTGTTTCCTGGCAACCTCAGCATGCACAAATTTAATGTGATCCAATTTTCTCCTTATACCATATTTGCTCTAGTAGAAGCATATCTCCAATAGAAGTGCACAGAAAACAAAAAATGCCTTTATTGTATGCTGAATCATAAAAATATGACTTATTTTGATTATCGATATACTTCTGTCATTTAAGTGCATGTGCTACTAATAGAGCAAATACATCTTATCCATTATATCTATATATTGCTGTGATTGATGTATTAGTATTTAATCCTTTCATCAACACTATACTACTCACAAATATATTAGAGATTATTTTACATTTAAATTTTATAAACAATGTGAAATGAAATCCAACAAACTCAGCATAAGTGAGTGATAGTATTACTGATGGTGAAAGATTAAATAACTTTGTAGATAGCCAAGTATCCCTGCATATATAATTTTTATCATTTTTGTTTTGAAAATCTATGTGCTATTTTATTATCTTTGCATTGCATTTAAAAGAAGTATGTGATGAATAAGTCTGATATTGTCTGTCAGTATCCAATTGGAGTTTGCGTTGATTTTCTTTGATTTTTGCATGTTATGCATTTAGAATCTGACTATTTATTTATAAAACCATTTAACCCCAACTACAATGTAATCCAAGGAGGCCCCAGCTGAAGAACCAGCTGCTGAAGTAAGTGGGTTGTCACATGCTTATATACCTATGTTTGCAGTGACCCCAGTGTATCTCATCCCTATATGCAACCAGTTATGTTCTACCCCATGCGGGTTTGTTTCTATCTCCTAGCAACCACACTTTCTGTCTCACATGGGTGTGTTTCTATTGCCTAGCAACCACACATTCTATCTCACATGGGTTTGTTTCTGTTGCCTAACAACCACATCTTCTGTCTCACTTGGGTTTCTTCTTATTTCCCAGCAACCACACCCTCTATCTCACATAGGTTTGTTTCTGTTCCCTAGCAACCACTTCTTCTGTCTCACTTGGGTTTCTTCTTATTTCCCAGCAACCACACCCTCTATCTCACATGGGTTTGTTTCTGTTCCCTAGCATCCACACCTTCTGTCGCTCATAGGTTTCTTTCTATCTCCCAGCAACCACACCTTCCATCTCATATGAGTTTGTGAATTCCCATTGCCCAGCAACCACACCTATCTCACATGGGTTTGTTTCTGTTGCCTAGCAACCATACCTTCTGTCTCACATGGGTTTCTTATCTCCTAGCAACCACACTTTCTGTCTCACATATGTTTCTTCCTATCTCCCAGCAACCACACTGTCCCACACTTTGTTCCAATTGCCCGGCAACCACACTTTTTGTCAACACTTTGTTCCTGTCTGCTAGGGATTCTTCTCCACAGTGATTGTTGCATGTGTGTACATCACCACATCTTGAAGCAGTGTGCAGTGTGGTTATCCTATAACTGGTTTATTTTGTTATATTTGCATGACATATCTTCTACTTTTTTTTCTTTTCCTGTTTGAAACTGGGAATTGAACAACCGGCAGGACATGAGAAAATATTTTTGTGTGTGTATGATTCCAAAACAAATAACAGGGATTTTGTCTACAGAGAATTGTTTGGTTTTCCCAGTGCCTTACATGCCTTTAGTGCTTCTTTTTTATGCATGAAATCTTTGTTTTATTATAAATCTTTATTTCTACTGATTTTGTTTATTTATTGCTTTATAATTTTATATAATGCTATTTTTTTTATTTTTTTTATTCACAACTTCATTAATTGCTATTAAAACTAATCTAAGGAGGCCCCAGCTGAAGAAGCACCTGCCGAAGTAAGTGGTTGTGCCTGGTTTGCAGTTTTCCCATTGGTTGAACAATTATAATATGCCACATTTAGCATTCTGCTTATTTCCATATTATAACCAATATTTTGCATTATCATTTTATTTGCTTTCACTTATCCTGTAATTATGCATGATGCTTTTTATTTTATTTTAATTTTATTATATTTTATTTTCTTTCTTTTCTTTGCTATTAAAACAAATCTAAGGAGGCCCCAGCTGAGGAAGCCCCTGCCGAAGTAAGTGGTTGTGCCTGGTTTGCGGTTCTCCCAACCCTTAATTTACCCAACGTTTATACCTCAAATCAGGTGTATTACAGACCCAAGCTGTTTGATGTGTTCTATCTTGCACAAGTGTTTGTGATTTCCCAGTTTGTTCTCATCTTCATGTCACACACCACCCCTGCCAACCAACCTCCCTCACCCCCACCCCACCCTAATAATGAAAAACTTTGATTAAATCTTTTATTTGCTTTTTTTTTACTCACTTTGTGGCTATGCATGATGCTTTTATTTTATTATATTTTATTTCCTTTCTTTTCTTTATTCAAAACTCCATTAATTGCTATATAAAAAAACAAGGAGGCCCCAGCTGAGGAAGCCCCTGCCGAAGTAAGTGGGTGTGCCTGGTTTGCAGTTTTCCCTATCCTAATGTACCCAATGTTTATACCTCCAAATCAGCTGTATTAGCCAAGTTTTATGATGTGCCACATATTGCAGTGTTTTTTTGTATTTCTCAGTTTATTCTGATCGCCACATTAAATACCATCCCTACCAAAAAGCCCCCTAACCACAGTGTACCATATTCATATTAAAAAATATGTATTGAGTCTTATATTTGCTTCAACTTACTTTGTGACTGTGCATGATGCTTTTTATTTAATTTTAATTTTATTATAATATTTATTTCCTTTTTTTTCTTTATTCAAAATTCCATTATTTGCTATAAAAAAAAAACAAGGAGGCCCCAGCTGAGGAAGCCCCTGTTGAAGTAAGTGGGTGTGCCTGGTTTGCAGTTTTCCCTATTCTAATATACCCAATGTTTGTAGTGTTGTGATTTCTCTTTATTCCCATCTTTCAGTTACACACCATCCCAACTCCACAAATACCACCTCATCCCAACCCCAGTATGCTGGATTAATTTATTTAAAAATAATATTTGGTTATTTGCTTTCATTTTCTTTGTGATTATATGCATGGTGCATTTTTTAAATTTTAGTTTAATTTAATTTTTATTATATTTTATTCCTTTTTCTATTCTCAACTCCCATTTTTGCTATTAAAACAAATCTAAGGAGACCCCAGCTGAAGAACCCCCTGCCGAAGTAAGTGGGTGTGTCTGGTTTGCAGTTTTCCCTGTATTACAACACCTTTTACATGGAAAATGCCCGTCCTCAATATTGCATGTATTCCTTTATCATTATTGTTGCCTGAAAGTTATATTTTACTTCTGTTTTTTCTGCTGGCACACCAAACTGATTTGTTTAATTTGACTATATTATAATTTCCTTTTTCCGTCTGATTGCGAACCAAATTTATAATGATGTTCCAGTGGAGGAAGCCTATGCAGCTGAAGTAAATGTGTTGTACAATGCTTGCAGTGACAAACTATGACAAATTGATCTTGTCTTTCTCATCTCTAACCATACTACATCAAGTTGCTGTTTACATCATGGATCTCATAATTCTCACTATACCTCACAAAACACTTGTTTGAAATTATGTTTTCAAATATACATGTATACTTCTTCTGCATGAATTAGTTTAATTTTTTATATCATATTTTTCTTTCATTTATAATTCAACTTATTAAAATAAACTTACAGGAGGCCCCAGCTGAGGAAGAGCCAGCAGAAGTAAGTTAGTTGTACAAAGTTTGCAGTGACCCCATGATTCCTGTATGTGTGTTTGTTGTGCATTACCTCCCACACCCAGCATCCACCCTAAATCTATACCCGGATACCATCTGGTTCCTATGACAGGATACCATTTGGTACCTATACCTGGTTACCATCTGGTACCTATACATGTATACCATATGGTACCCATACCTGGATACCATCTGGTGTGTAAACCTGGATACCATTTGGTACTTTTCCCTATGCTCACCAAAACTGACTACTTCCAGTGTTTGATTTGCATGTATTTAACTATTTTTCCCTTCCTTGATTGTCTTTCCCATGTTTGAATAAATTCTTTAAGAATCCTGTTTTTTAAGCAATATCTGTTCTTATTGCAATTTCTTTTTACTTTTAGGTGCCAGCACCTGAGCCAGAACCTGTGGCTGAACCTGAACCAACGCCTCCACCACCAGAAGAGAAGAAACAAGAAAAGAAGTAATGTATTTTTAGTTTAGTTAATATCAGGGACAATTTGTAGCGGAAAACATGTCAGAGTGGCTTTCATAAAAGTGTTCCCCTATGAAGGGCTTTAAATCATGATAACAATGAAGCAAATGTTAAAAGTAGTTTCTGTATGTGCATAATTTAGTTTTTTAAATCTGATTAATTTAAATTAAGAATAAAAAGTTTGAACATCAACAATTTCAGACTTGTCAGGTCCTATTTCATTCCAAATATGATATGAATACGCTCTGATGCATATGATTTTGAATTCAAAAATAGGAAGTATATCATTGATAATTCTTGTCATTTTCTAATTATGATATGGTATTTAATATTATTTGTTGTAATTGTCAACATTTTTTTTTCTTCCCCACCAGACCCCAACCTGTGCCTGAGATTGCCCCAGTGGTGAGACAGGAAACAGATGCAGAACGAGAGATGAGGGTAAGACCACAATGCAATTGTACATCCTATGTTTCATTTTGTGTAGCAATCATCATAGGATCTGATGTTCAGTTCAAAATTGTTTTGATCTATGAAATCTTACCAAATGCACCGTTTAATTTTTTCTAAAAATTTCTAAAAATATAATCACATTATAATTCATTATCCTGGCAACTACGATAGCATGTCATACATTAGATACTTGTAAGTTTTTTTTATAGAGAATTATAAAAGCTAAGATTCTATATAGTATAAAAAGTTCATTTTGATTAAAATGTGTCAAACAAACCTACTACATGTTGTATATCCTTAAATTCCTAGTAACTACATTCAGCCATTGAATTTCTTTGAAGTAGTCAGGCACCTTTTTTAGCTCCGCTGTCGACTTTGTCGAGCGGCATCCGGCGTCGGCTGTTGTCTGTGTCAACTTTTCACTTTTTTGACTCCTTCTTGGAAACTACAAACCTGAATGCTTTGATACTTGGTGTATATGTACCTTGGGTAGACCTCTCTTGGATTTGTTCATTTCATAATGATATCTTTAATTCTCTAATTTTGGTGAATATTTTTTTTATTTTTGGTAAAAAGTTATATTTTTGACTTCTTGTTGAAAACAGCAAGTCCGATTGCTTTGATACTATACATGTTGTTCATTTTCTAATGATATCTTCTGTTCTTTATTTGAAATGTGCATTGCTAACAGCGGGGCTATCTCAGCCGACAGGCTGCTTGTTTTTGTTTACATTATATATAACACTTTGAGTGTCAATAACACTTTGAGTGTTATTTTTCACAAAACAAATTTGCATGATTTTTTTCTATATTTCTTCGAAAATCAAGATCAAGATCATTTGGGAATTGGAAGTTGTATTTATTTAATTCAAATCAACAAATTATGGCACAGAAAGGATTATTAAACTTATATCGTCTCTTGTCTATGTTAACAGGAAATGCAGGAAAAGAGAAAGCAAGAACAAGATGTAATGTTGGCAGAGGCCATTGAACAACTACGTAAAGATAGAGAAGCATTAGCTGCTGAATTGACAGCACTTCGTGAAAGACGAGTAAGCATTTTTTTTCTTTTTTTTATATCAACGTTGATAAAGGTTAATTGATATTTGCATGCTAAAAGTATGAAAGAATATAATATGTGGTTGTCGATTTCTATTTTCTAGTTTTCACAAAAAAATGTGTCCTTATACAAAATGTAATTATTATTTTGTTTTTGTTGCAAAAAATTACTTTTTAATTTTAAGGTTTCAGATATTGCTATACATAGTTTGTTTTAGACTGGCAAAGTCGGGACTTCTTTTCGCAAGGGATTTCTTTCGCGGTCATGCTAGTTTTCACGGCCACGCTAAAAAGGCTAAATTAACAATTAACTTTATTAATTTTTTAATTTTAATTTTTAAAGTCCAAACTTTGCCAATCTAAGTTTGTTTTACAATATCCAAAAACAGGTGTTATGATTGTACATGAGAATATTATATACTTGAGTGTAAAATATGATCTCATTGTTTTTATTTTATAGGAGAAACGTAAAATTGAGAGAAAAGAGAGAGACCGTTTGGCTCTTGAGAGAGAGGAAGCAAAGAGAAAGAAAGCAGAGGTAAGATAATTAATGAGATGCAAGGTTATATTGATACATGTATAATAAATCGGCTATGCAATAATAGTTGATATATTCCCAACCGTAATATTTAAATTACCTTGCATATTAATTTCTGAATGTCAATTTATATAAAATAATACAGGAAAAGCATACACTAGTTACACCCTGTTTTTTCCCACTTCACAGGAGGAAGCATTGAGACGCAAAGAAGAAATGGAGGCTAGGAAAACTGCTGCTCAGAATAAACGACGTGCTCGTGAGCAGACTCGTCAAATGCAGTTTCAAGGTATTGGCCAACATCTTGGAGGTTCTGATATCAAGGTAAGAATATACTAATTATTTATTTTCAGTTTCACAATAATGTAAAGACATTATAAAGTGTTGACTAGAATCAATCTTATATTAGATGAATTAAAAACATACTGAAATTAAATATTTTATTTATTTATAGGGCGCAATCCAAAAGGCCAAAGCTTCTACCAAGAGTGCAGTGGAAAAAGAGGAAGAAAAACAGAAAGTCATGGCTGAAAGAATTCCCAACTTGATGATTGGAGCAATGACCAGTCCTGAACGTCTACGAGAGTATGCAAATGATTTTAAGGGAAAATTGTCTGAATGCTTGGGAGCAATTTATGATATGACCCAAAAGCAGAAGCGCCAGAAATATGATGTAAGTTTTCAAACTTAATCACGAATGTCATGAATTAATGTGTTGTTATGTTTATGTGTTGGAATGTCATGTCAAATAAATGTGCAATGAATTGTGATTTTGTCAGTTCACATGTGATGTCATAAATTTACATGTGATGTCATAAATGTACTTGTGATGTCATCAATTTATGTGATGTCATCAATTTACATGTGATGTCATAAATGTACATGTGATGTCATAAATGTACATGTGATGTCATCAATTTATGTGATGTCATCAATTTATGTGATGTCATCAATTTACATGTAATGTCATAAATGTACATGTGATGTCATCAATTTATGTGATGTCATCAATTTTCATGTGATGTCATCAATTTACATTGGATGTCATTAATTTACATTGGATGTCATCAATTTACATAATGTGTGATATGAAATATATTTCCGGTAAGTTTATGTGATATCAGATCATGAGGAGATATATACATGTGAATTGTGATGTCATCAGTTGTCATGTGTGATACATCATGATTTTTACTTACAAATAAATTTTTATTTTCTCATTTTATAGATTCATGAACTAACAGAGCGTTTTAAGGACATGCAAAAGAAGTAAGAAAAACTTTTACAACATTTTGAAATGACGCTTTTTTACTTGAATTTATTTTTCTATTTTTACTGAAGGGATAAATCAGTGAGAATAAATCCAATGAATTTTTTTTATATATTTTACATTAAACTGATCAAAAATCAGTGAAAATAAAGTGTTTTATCAGCGAAAAAATAATTCCATTTTTACAGTATGTGACATATATTTTGGTAAATAATTAGAGGTTATTCTCAGCTAATACTAAAGATAACGTGTGGTATTTCAAAATACAGTGTTGATTGAAGCATAATAATTGAGCACAATAATTTCTAATGATCTATGTTTGTTTTTCTTTGTCCTACCAGTCCTAAGAAGGATGTCGCTAAACTAATGGCGAGTACTGACAAGTAAGTTAACATTCATTAAATCAATTCAAAACATGAACATGGAAATATTTATATTTTAGGTGAAAAAATAATTAACAAAATTAACGTTTTTGTTTTTTTGTCTTTTTATCATAGGAAAAGCAAATTCACAGAGGAGTTACAAGCAGAGGTATGTCTTGGCTCACTATAACATGTTAACCAAAAAAATGAATTTATATATTCATATATAATGTTTTTGTTTGATTAATATGTTAAAAGCTGATCACCGATATATAATGTGATTACTTTCTTATTAATGTGTTATGCTTCTTGACAGCTGTCAGAATCTTCACCAGCAACACTATGCTTTAACCATGTCGCTTTGATGTGATATTATAAAAGTCTGTGTGTGTCTGGTGACATATGTCATTGAAGCTCATAATGACATATGTTATAGTTTATGTGACATATGTCATATAAGCTCATAATGACCCATGTCATATTTCACATGAAATATATCATCAATAATCCTGACCTATGACCATATTTTGGCACATAATTACTTAAATATGATGCTGTGGTACCTAATAATCCATGTCACAGCACATGTCGTGTCGTGTCATGTCATGTCATGATAAACAATGTTCTATATCATGCCAACTTGCGTGCAGTGTCGTGCAAAAATATAATAATATAAGTTAATTCATTTTTGTTTACCTGATGATGACATGTCATGACTGATGACTTTTAACATGACTTATATGTCAAATTGCATCACACAAAAGATGAAATTTGACATGTGATATTTTCAATATGCCACTTATATTGACATTTTATAAAATTTACCTTGTATGAATGTTTAATGTACTGTGTTCTGTGATATCAATGGCTCTAAGTGTGTTGTATAAATTACCGTATACACTGATATCTTGTCTAATCCATTAATTTTTCATCTACAATACCTTGCTGCTTTATTCTTTCTTCGTTATCTAGTAAGACGTTGGGCATTAGACACTCTGAGAGGGGAGATGCTAGAATACAAAAACTATTATTTTTTCCCTAGTTTTGAGCTAGATTTTTATTTCAGGATGGTGTTGTGGTAAATTTGTTTTTTGTTGTTGCTTTACTTAGGTACCGAATGTCTCTTATAAATACAGCTTTTTTTTGTAGTATTTTTTTCAAAATAGTCTCTGAGAATTTTACCCTCCCTAGAGTTTCTGATGGTCAATTCCTATTTATAAAAATAATCAAAATAATAATGAAGAACCAGCATTCAAAATTTAATATTTATCTGTCATGATATAATGACATGATTTCTATTTTTTACAAAATGATTTCTCTGCCTCGGTCGCTATATTATATGGCAAATCACACGACATGGAGTGTCTGTACTAATTGAATTTTCAAAAACACATACTAAGCAAAGATACTGGTTTCTGGTTACTAACATGGCTTGCTTACAGAAGTTTGAATGCAAATTTTTTCTACACAATTATTTTACAACTGCTCTTTTTTTAATAATTATTTTCACTTTCTTTTAATGTTGTTTTTTCACTGACTTTAGTATGACTTTCAACACATAACTGTGCTTACAACAGAATATGTGAGTTTTGTGATCTCAAGTTCATCGTTCCGCAAGACATCCTGTTGCAGTTTATTTTCAATCAGGTTAAAACTTAAATTAAAATAAGTGAAACACTAGTGTGGAAAGTCAAACTAATTATTTCTTAACCTGATTGACATTATGTATGATTTTTCAATTAACATTTTTCAGAAGAAAAACTAAGTGTCCCATATGTCAGATGTCTGGTAACAACAGGTAAATATTTGTTGATTGTTGACACAAAATCTTTTTACAATTTCTTTCCTGGTAAATTTAGCCTGTTCATAAGGAGAGACCAGTCATTAGGGGAGGAAACGTGAAAGGCACATTGGATAAAATTATGACAGCAGGAGGAGAGGAAGAAGAGTAAGGGAGTGAGAACCTTGGTTCTCCTAAGGTAGCAGTGGTTCTTATGTACTTTTACTAACGTTATTTTTGTTTCAGCATTCTGATGTGATCTCCCTCCCCTCTCTGACAGCTCAAGGTGGACATCCAATCGCAGGTTATCAAATTACACACACTTGTTACACGTTTATCTTGTCCAAATAGCTGAAAAAAAACTTTATCGTCACAGGAATGCATCTTTATTATCCCCATTGCATGTCTTGTATATCAGCAACTGAAAAAAAAAAATCACCAAGAGAAAATAGTTTAATGCACAGCCATTCATCGCATGTACAGAACATACTGCCAAGCATCTATTCCACTACCCTATATTATTGTTGCTGGTCATAGCACTGCAAGTATAAGTAATATTTCTAAAGTTGAAGATATGCTGTTGCTGCAACATAAAAGATATTAATGACAGTTCGATAGTTTATAAAAAGTAATATATGTATGAAAAACATTCAGTGCCAGTGTAGTTTTCATGACTTGTTCATTAGTTGAAGAGTTGCAGCAATGAAAGTCCAAGATATCTGTGATAAATCTAAGGTGCTAAGTATTCTGAGTTCTGAGACCCCTACAATATGCCTAGTATCAGTGCTCAAGTTTTGAGACCTCTATAATATGCCTAGTATCAGTGCCCAAGTTCTGAGACCTCTGCAATATGACTAGTATCAGTGCTCAAGTTTTGAGACCTCTATAATATGCCTAGTATCAGTGCCCAAGTTCTGAGACCTCTACAATATGACTAGTATCAGTGCTCAAGTTTTGAGACCTCTATAATGTGCCTAGTATCAGTGCCCAAGTTCTGATACCTCTACAATATGCCTAGTATCAGTGCTCAAGTTTTGAGACCTTTACATTATGCCTAGTATCAGTGCTCAAGGTCTGAGACCTCCACAATATGCCTAGTATCAGTGCTCAAGTTCTGAGACCTTTACATTATGCCTAGTATCAGTGCTCAAGGTCTGAGACCTCCACAATATGCCTAGTATCAGTGCTCAAGTTCTGAGACCTTTACATTATGCCTAGTATCTTATTTATTTATTAACACACAACATCCCTCGGAGGGGATGAAAAGGGTTACAAATCAGATATTAGTAAAAGAAAAATAACCACATAAAGAGTAAGGGAACAAAAAGGCATTAAAAAAAAAAAAAAGATAATAAGTTGAATACAAGGAATGTATTACTGGCTTAGTTTATGTAGGTGCTGCTGTCTTGTATTAAAACAGTTTTTTAAATATTGCGCTAAAGGAATTGACATTTTCTCGTCACTTAGTAATGATATGAATTTATTTTCATTACTAAATTTGTCAAAATTTGGTATACGTTTATTAGCTACAATGTAAAGTTTTGATCTTATTTCATTGTAATGAGGACAATTTGTGACAAAATGTTGTTCATCTTCAACATGGTCATTGTCGCACATATTGCAGACTCTGTCTTTAAAATCCAATCCTGTATGCCGGCCTGTTTCAATTTTCAGACAGTGGTTGCCAAGTCTAAATTTTGTTAAGGATTTGCGAAGTTCACTGTTTTTCATAATTGTTAAGTAGTTTTCTTGTTCTATTTTGGTTTTAAAAAGTTTGTAGGTTCTTAGTTTATTTTTAGAATTTGATTTTTTCCTATTGTCATTATTTATTTCATTTTTCCACTCAGTTGTAAACTCTTCTTTTAATTTCTCATCAATTGTTTTTAATTTTGATAATGAGATAATATTTGTTTCATTTAAAAGATAAGAATGGTTAATATTATTTAATATCAGATCAAGTTTTTTAAACCATTTACTTTTAATAATTTTATTGACATAGTATGCTTCTTGAAGTAGAGTATTTGTGGAATTTGCAATACGATTGGCATATTTTATCATTTGTTTCTTAATAAAAGAGTCAAGAGGTAATTTTCCCAATTCACTATATATTGCCATGATTGGTGTATTTTTTGAGATACCAAGAATGTACCGATAGTATGTAAGCTGAACATCCTCTACAATTGATTTTGTAGAGCTTTCTTCTCCCCAAATGTCACTCCCATACACAATAACTGGTCTGATAAGTTTATCAAATAGTGACAGTAGTATGGACATGTCCAGATTACCAGATCCAATTTTGGTCTTTAATGAGAATAAGGCTTTTATTCCTTTTCTTTTTAGGTTTTTCATGGCATCTTTAAATTTACCATTTGGGCTCATAGTTAAGCCAAGATAATTGAAATCTTTATATTGATTTCTTTTCCAAATCATGTTATAGATCAACAAATGTATTAAAAATGGCTGACTGGTGGCCATTTAGTTTATTTCTTACTCTTTTGATTCTCGATAACAGCTAACATATAAGAATAGTTATTGTTTGTGTCAAGCCAACAGTATGTAAAACTATAAAACCTTTTGACCATGTCTATGTCATTTTTGTGTTTAATACTTAACCTATTTATTTCTCTAGATGTTTTTGCTATTTTTTCTTGGAGTGAATTAATTGGTAGTAGCCCATTGCATTTTTTAAAATATCACTTCATAAACACAATTCTGAGAGATAAATTTATAAATAGCTTTTGACTGTAAACAGATATCTGGATATCTCCTTATAGTGACTAAGAGTTATTTTTTTGTATTCATGTGATATGAATGTTCATCAGATGTTGTCCTATATTTACATACACAACATTTAAGCAAATGTTTTATGACCTTTTAACTCTGTGCCTGGACTTAAATTCCCATTTCTG